GGGTGGTTTGGGTTGGAAGGGACATTAAGGATTACCCAGTCCCACCTTCCTAGTGGACACCTTCCACTAGCCCAGGCTGCTCCAACCTGGCCTTGGACACTTCCAGGGATCCAGGGGCAGCCACAGCTTCTTTGGGAATTCCATCCTAGTCCCTCTCCACCCTCACAGGGAGGAATTCCTTCCCAATATCCCTTCTATCCCTCTGGCAGTGGGAAGCCATTCCCTGTGTCCTGTCCCTCCATGCCTTGTGCCCAGTCCCTCTCCAGCTCTCCTGGAGCCCCTTTAGGCCCTGGAAGGGGCTCTCAGGTCTCCCTGGAGAAGAGAATATATAAATATGTAGTTTAAACTTAAATATTTATATAGGGGCAAGTGTCTGGTACAGCAGTGCCCCACACCAGTGTCTCCAAAAACTGCCCTTCCTCAGCAAACCATTCAATCAGTAAAATCAGTGAGGCTTTCATGGTTTAATTTAAAATACCTTCTTTTTTTCTGGTGTTAATTAGGAAACTCGGCTCTATTGGTGTCAATAAATGGCAAATACCAGCTAAAAAAGCAGGATGAAATTCCTTCTCAGGACAGTCTTGGAGAAGCCTCATCTGTCAGGAGATCTCATTAGTTCTTGCTCGCTCATGTCTGACAAAAACAGCACAGACCTGCTTTATTTATTTCTCACTTAAAACTATTAATTTAAAAGAAATATCAAGGCTGCCTTTTCTGCCTTATTGTGCAACAAAACAAAAAAAAAAAGGGGAAAACACGTGGTTTTTTTTCTTTTCCCCTCTTGATTCTTTCCCAGTGGTGGCCTTTGCAGCTGAGCTGAATCATCCTCTGAAATCAGGGAATTCAGCCTTGGCTGGGGGCGGCTCGTGCAGGGCTCATTCCTGGTTTTCCACACCTCAGGTGTGAGCACCAGCACGTGTGAAATGGAAACCTGGAAAACAAAGACCTCAGGGGTGTTTTTCAAATCTAGTCCTTTGCATTTGCCTCTAAAAAAGAAAAACGAGGAGCTCCTTTCCGAAATTTCTGCTGTTTTCCTCCTGTGCGTTTTTCTCTTGCTGTGAGAGGATCTTGGTGTGACTGAAAGGATTTTTTTCCTCAAAAACAAGAAAAAAACACCTCCCAGAGGCAACAACTGATGGAGCTGGTTTAAAGACTTAGCACCCACAAGCCCGAAAAATAATGTCTAAAACCAATTTATTGTCTTTCCTCGATGGTTTTCGAGGGTTCGCTTTGAATAATCGTTGTCGTGTGTTCAGATCTTCAGAGTTGCAGAGAATATATAGAAAGTTTTGTGTCTCAGAAGGTGCTGAGTTGTATCTGAAGAAATGTTTTGTCCCCAGTCCAGGAAGGAATTTGAAAAAATAAGAAAAGGAATCCAAACAGATTCTTCCATTTGAGCGGAGACATATGTTGGGTGGGCTGGCACCAGACTGGGATGCAGAATCCTGTAGAACCAACTCCTCGGGCTCTGGGATATTTAGAGGATCAACATCCAGAATAAGGGGCTGGAGAAAAAAGGGAGGGAAAAAAAGGAAGGAAAAGGAAGAATTGAGCAGCTGAGGAGCAGCCCAAGGGAATTGTGGGCAGGGTGGGGTGGGGTCAAAGGTTGGACTCGGTGATCTCAGAGATCTTTTCCGACCTCACCGAGTCTGTGGTTCCGTGAATTCCAGCCTGGATTCCCTGGGAGCGCACAGGGAATGAGGAATAAAGGAGCTGGAGATGGCTGCAGGGATATGATCCTGTTGGCATCACGGAGACTCCTCTGGCTGGAGGGTTGGAGTGGAAGGGTCCAGGCTCTTCAGGAAGGACAGGCAGGGGATTGAGGATGGAGCCTCATCCTGTGTGTCCATGAGCAGCTGGAGCTCACGGAGCTGCTCCTGGGAATGGACCAGGAGCTGAGCAGGAGCTCAATCCGGGAGGCTCCTGGGATGTGCTGGTGATAATTTCCTTCTCCAAGGAGAGGGGCTGTGCTGGAGCTGGGTGTCACCAGCATGGAGGGGCTGGTGGGGGGTGGGAAGGGGCTCAAGGGCTGCAGTGGCTGTGAAATGGTGTTCAGGATCCATAGGGATCCATTGGATGGGGCCTGGAGCCAGGCTGGGAGAGCTGGGGGGGTTTCCCTGGAGAAGAGAAGGCTCCAGGGAGACCTGAGAGCCCCTTGCAGGGCCTAAAGGGGCTCCAGGAGAGCTGGAGAGGGACTGGGGACAAGGGATGGAGGGACAGGACACAGGGAATGGCTTTCCACAGCTATCCCAAGATGGGATATTGGGAAGGAATTGGTGGCTGGGAGGGTGGGGAGGCCCTGGCCCAGGTTGCCCAGAGAAGCTGTGGCTGCCCCTGGATCCCTGGGAGTGTCCAAGGCCAGGTTGGAGCAACCTGGGCTAGTGGAAGGTGTCCCTGCCCAGGGCAGGGGCTGGACTGGGATGATCTTTAAGTTCCCCTCCAACCCAAACCATTCTGGGATTCCATGTAATTGTGTCTATTTTTGCATCCATGTTAAATGACATCCAGGAATCTCTGAATAAGATGATGTGTTTTTAAACAACAAACATTTTAATTTCTTTGGTAAATTCCCATTAGTTGAGATCACAGTGACTCCTCCTGGTTGTTGGGGTGATGGTCAGGAAATCATTTTAAGCACAACTAATGTAACACTTGGGGGCCATTTATCAAAATGAACAGGTCCCATAAAATTCAGAAGATCCCCTTGGAACATGTGGTTTAACACAGAGGGAACTTCTTCCCAAAGCCCTTTGAGAAGGCTTAGAGGTTTTGAGAACAAAATTAATGATACCCTTACAATTATTGCAGTTGTCGTGTGTGAGAGAGCAGTGATTAAACCCCGTCACAAATAACATCTGCAGTGGGAGCAGAGTTGAAATATCTGCATTTTGGTCGTGCAGTTCACAGAAGGAAAGAAAATATCATCTCTCAACACAAAAGGCAACGTGAGAACGATTTACTTGCCAGGCAAAAAAAGAAAAAAAAGAAAAAAAGGAAAATGAAGATGTTTTCAGTGGCGCTTAAAAAATCTGGGGAGAATTGGGTCTGATTCAACTGGTTAAGAAAATCCAATGTTAGGTTTGAAGGGCAGCTGATAGAAAAGCTCAGCACTGAATTACGTGTGCAAAGGTGCTTTTAAGGAAAACTGGTCATGGATTTGAACCAGCTTGGAGACTCTGGACATGCTGAGGAAGAGCTGTTTGAAAAGGCGCCGTGAAATGTTTCGTTCCTTTCCCCGTGGTTGCTCCATGGGGTGTTTTCCCTTTAAAATGACATTTTTTCGACTCCAGTTCTCGTTGCATCTTCTGTGCTGAACTTATTAAAGAAACCTGGTGTTGGCTCCCTCTCTGGCTTCTGACCCAGTTCATTGAGAGACCAAAGGAGAGGCAGCCAAAGCCAAGCAGGGCCATCAGAAAGTGGGACTGGTTGGACCTGACCTTCTTAAGGGTCTTTTCCAACCTTAGTGATTCTCTGATTCCAAGGAATCGCGGGTCGTGGCTGCACAGACCTGTGGATTTAAAGGCAATTCTTGGTGTTGGTGTTCTAATGGAATTCTTTGGGTTGGGAAAGTCCTCCAGGATCACTGAGGGACTGATGGTCACCTTGGTGCCAGCCCAGAGCGCCGAGTGCCATGTCCAGTCGTGTCTTAGACCTTAATTCACCAACTTCCATCCTGGATGGGGTTGTTTAGTGATTTCCAGCACCAGCAGAACTTGTTCAGCTCCTGTTTCACAGAGACTCCTGTGAATTCCAGCTGTTCCATGAGCCTTCAATTCTTAGAAACTCTTTATTCTGTTCCTCTCCTGCCCCTCAACCCCGTCTTGAACCTCATCTGAAAATTCCTCATCGCTCCCAGTTCCTCCACAGCAGCTTTTTGGTGCTTTAATTGGGTCATTTTGTATCTGGAATTTTTCCCCCTGCTAATCCATCAACTCTCAGCTTGGCAAACCCCGGGGTACAGTGGACATCCAATTTCTCTTTGGATTTTCCTTAGGGAAAGAGAGGGAACATAATCCTGGCATACCCTGGGTAATTTTATTTCGGAGACTGATTGGACAGTTATTTATCCTACAAGTATTTTGAATTTTTGGAAACACTAGGAAGAGCAGAGAGCATCCATTTAGCTGTTCCAGAACTTGCTGCTTTGAGGAAGAAGTTGGTCAGAAAGGTGTTTATTCTCATGTAATAGAAGTTGAGGGGTTTGGATTGACTTCAGAAGAGACAAATGTGGTCAATTCAGATAAAACTTTATCCTAAACTGAGTTGAAATCACTTTTTGCATTGATATGGGCAAACTGCAAAAAACTTGGGGGTTCTGCTGTTACAGGTATTTAACTTTTATGGCTTTAAATAGTAAATTGAGAAGCAATAAATTGTCCCCAGAGCCTGTGATCCCATCACTTTCCCACTCGTGTCCTGACTGTTGGCAACGGGGTGTCCCAGGCCTGGAGACAAATAAATGAGTAGTTGTTAAATGATAGTTTAAATATATATATATTCAGGCTGAATAATTTTATTTTTTATTGTATTTTTTGCTTTATAAAAGCACCATAACTTGCTCTTACGGTGACATTGTCCTAAAGTTTCACTTGGCTTTTCCAAGCTTAAGGAGGTGCTTTAACTTCCCATTAATCCATTAGTGCTCGTAACACACTTCAACCTTAATTTGTAATTTTATTTAATCTAAATTTGAAATGATGGGATGATTACTGCTGTGGTTATTTGGGTATAATAACAGTGAAATCCCCAAGATTTGTATATTTATTAAATATACTAGTGCAGAGTAATTATTGAGGGCCTCCAAGAGTTAAATACCTGTGTTATGGCTCTGGTTCTTCTCTGTTTATTTTTTAACAGCAGCTCCTAAATCCATGCGTTGCTTGAAATGCACAAGTTTACTTTGTGCCTGTTTAATAAGTAAATAAATAAAATAAGTAAATAAATATTTTAAACCCCAGTCTAGTTGCATTAAACCTGGTTTAAGTCCTGCTTTTGGTGTTGCTCTGCAGATCCTTGCTGACGATGGTGGTCGCTGGAGGCATCAATATTGAAGATTATCTCATTTACAGACAAGATCTTTGAAATCTGGTCCCTTCAGGCAGCAAAGGTGAGGAAAATAATCGAGATTATGCCTTCTTCTAGAAGTAGTAAGTTAGTTTTTGGCCTCAAAAATAACCAGGCTTGAACAGCAGCTGAAGGTTGGGAGCCAATGTTTAACCTCTTTTTTAATAAGTTTATTTATTCTGCTAATGTGAAAAATAAGCTGCATGGAGGGAGCTCGGTTTCTTTTCCTCCTTTTAGTTACAAGAATATGAGTCATTAACTTCTTTTTTTTTCCCCTGCATTTAATGGCTTTTCCTTATTCTTCCTTTCTCCCGAGTTTTTTACCCTGCAGATGAGTTGCAATATCTGTGTTTGTGTGATAGAGACCCTTGTATGTTAAAACCTGGAGAGTGGCCGAGGAAAAAAGCCAAAAATTAGGTGGGAAAAGAAACAAAATAGGGGTCAATCTCATGAAAATTCCCGTAGAATTGGAGAAAACTGACTTTTAAATTAAAAATTAAGGCGTGAACCTGACGTGTCTCGTGCTGTTTGTTTTCTCCGCTCGTGGTGTTTATTATCCAAATAAATATCAAATATTATCTGATCCAAATAAACATGGGAAGTTCAGGAGGGCTTTGTTTAAGTATCATTTTTTCTCTTTTTGAAACTTTCTGGGAAGAGGTTTTATCCTTCAGCTGTGGAAATGGAGCTCATTCCCCCCCTCGTTATCCACGTTTAATTTAACGTGTGGCAATATCTGATTTTTGGTGCAGCTCATCCCTCAGCAAACCAATTAAGACATCATTTCAGGAGATAATTGAGCTCCTAACGGGGCTCTGGAATTCGGGAAAAATTCCCATATTTGCTTTTCCCTGCTTCAGCAGCCAGGCCCAACGTGAGGGTCCAGCTTCAGGTTTGAGCTTCTGGAGGTGCCAACTGGAGCCGAGGCTTTTCCGAGTGAAGGGTGCGAAATGCTGGTGGATCCCAGGGTGGGGAAATTCTGGAATAAGCTCCTTAATTCCCAAAGCTGGGCTCTGAATGGCTCTTGGCAGATGGTTGTTTGAGGGATACAACTTATATTGTTGCTCTTTTCACCTGCAGCACAACACGCTGAAAAGTGATTTAAGGACCAGGTTTGGTCCATGTTTGGAATTAATTTTCTGCCTTTGGTCTCATCTGGATCTGCAGGGAAAGGGCTTGTTCTGCTGAGCTTTATCATATATATCTTTATAACACATATATTATATAGAATCTTTATTTGGCTTGTTCTAAAAGCAAAGATATTACTAATTATATATATCTTTATATAGATCTTACTAATATATATATTTATAATACATATATAATACATATATAGAATCTTTATTTGGCTTGTTCTGCAGATCTTTCTAATATATATCATTATAATATATATATAATATATATAATCTTTATTTTGCTTGTCCTGCAGATCTCTACTAATATATAATCTTTATAATGCATATATAATACATATATTATATAGAATCTTTATTTTACTTGTCCTGCAGATCTTTCTAATATATATCTTTATAATACATATATAATACATATATATATAATACATATATATAATCTTTATTTTGCTTGTCCTGCAGATCTTACTAATATATGTCTTTATAATTCATATATAATACATATATTATATAGAACCTTTATTTTGCTCCTTCTGTAGATCTTTCTAATATATATCTTTATAATACATATATTATATAGAATCTTTATTTTGCTCCTTCTGCAGATCTTTCTAATATATATCTTTATAACCCATATATAACATACATATTCTTTATTTTTCAAGCAGTGTGACTAGAGCATTCCTGGAAGTGCTTTGTTAGCCCAGACAAATTAAGTGTCTCATTTATGAAGTGTTTATAAATTAGAGAAAAAAAAATCAGGGCAGTTCTCTCGTCGTTTCATTTTCTCTTTGTTTTGGGGAGTTTTTTTCACCTCCAGAAGGAAGATTTTTACATTTAAAAGACAAACACCGCCGAGCTGAGAGAGGTTATTTCTCCTTCTGCCATATTGAGAGTTTGGGTTTGTTTTGTTGTTCCAGTTCCCTTCGAGGACAGACCTTTCCATATGTTTTTATTTGTTCTAAAACGGGAATCTGCAACATTTGGTGAAGGAAAACCAAATGCTTTGGGGGGAATAATCATCAAAGTTTGCGTTTGGGTTGAGAAGAAACATTTTTTTACCCGTGGAAAAAAACGGGGCAGGGAAAGTATTTCTCTCTGGGAGGTTTGTGTTTTACTGGTCATTTCCTCAAAGTTTTAATATGTACGTGTGGATAAACCTCAGGGCGCTTCCGTGGAATCCAAGAAAACATTTAATTCACATTCTGGGGTTTTTTCCTCTTTTTTACCAGCACTAAAACACTCCCAGCTGGGTGGTGTGGTACTTCCAAACCTGGGTGACCTTGGTTCACCCACGTGGCCCTTGTACCTCACCTTTAATTAGAGGATGCCATCCTATTTTCCTCCTTGCATTAAATAGATGGCATTTCATCTGTGATCTCCTGTCTTTTACTGTTCAGTTTGTGGTTCCAGATCTTCTGGGCTGCAGAATGTTCAGACCTTGCCCTGCAGATGGAATTAAGAATTCGCTTTTTTGATTTGTTGTACTTTTTAGCAACAGGTTTTATGGAATCACAAAATGGTGTGGGTTGGAAAGGACCTTAAAGATCATCTAATTCCATCTCAGGGGCAGGGACACCTTCCACCAGCCCAGGTTGCTCCAAGCCCCATCCAACCTGGCCTTGGACACTTCCAGGGATCCAGGGGCAGCCACAGCTTCTCTGGGCAACCTGTGCCAGGGCCTCCCCACCCTCCCAGGGAGGAATTTTTCTTCATATCCAATCTAAACCTACTCTCTGGCAGTGGGAAGCCATTCCCTGTGTCCTGTCACTCCACACCCTTGTTTTCTCCATGACTTTCTGAAGTCCCTGTTGTTTTGGAGGAACACTTCCAGTTCTGGGAGCTCCCCTTGGCAGCTCCTTGGCTGGGCTGCTGAGCTTGGTGTCCTTCCTACAGAACTGGGATACTCAACCTATGGAGATTCCTCCCAGCCAGGGAAAGAGAGCAGTGATCCTACAGGAATCAGAAGGGTTGTTGGCTTAGGCATCTTTTTTTGAAGTCCTGGTTTCATTCTCAATCCTCCTTCAGCCATCCTTCTTTGTTTCCTTGTTCCTTCTCGTGTTGTAGAATCACAGAATCATGGAATCAGCCGGGTTGGGAAGGACCTCTGAGATCATCAAGTCCAACTCTGCACCTCTGTTTTCATTCTCCCTCATCCAAGTAATTTCTGATGTCACCCCATTTCTGTTTCCAGTCCCTGATCCATTCTCACACAGTGCCAGTCTTCCCTCCCTTCATTACTCTCCAGAATTACAGCTCTATTTACGTTGAAATTCTGCATTTCCTAAAAACTTTAAACCGTGTGTTAGAAACCAGTTTGGATTCTCTGGGTATTTTTGATCTGCACGGAGCAGTTTTAGCCTGACACTGCAGGTTTTCCTTCTCCATGAACTCAGATGGCACTGACTGATTGGTGTTATTTATTGTAGCACGTGAGAGAAACCAGGACAACACAGGACAGCCCTCAGAATATTTGTGTCTTGGTCATCACTTTGAAGGAGGTGAAAATAATCAGAGAAATCCCAGAATGGTTTGGGTTGAAAGGATCCTTAAAGCTCATCCTGTCCCACCCACCTTCCACTAGCCCAGGTTGCTCCAGCCTGGCCTTGGACACTTCCAGGGATCCAGGGGCAGCCACAGCTTCTCTGGGCAACCTGGGCCAGGGCCTCCCCACCCTCCCAGCCAAGAATTCCTTCCCAATATCCCATCTCACCCTGCCCTCTGGCAGTGGGAAGCCATTCCCTGTGTCCTGTCCCTCCATGCCTTGTTCCCAGTCCCTCTCCAACTCTCCTGGAGCCCCTTTAGGCCCTACAAGGGGCTCTCAGGTGTCCCTGGATCCTTCTCTTCTCCAGGTGAACCCCCCCAGCTCTCCCAGCCTGGCTCCAGAGCAGAGGGGCTCCAGCCCTTGGAGCATCTCCGTGTCCTCCTCTGGCCTCATTCCAATGTGCCCATATCCTCCTTGTGTTGAGGACAAATCCATCATTTCCAGAGAAAACTGGTTATTCCGACGCGTTGTCTCAGAAATTCCCACACCGTGTAATTCCAGGATGTGGGATGTGTCTCTGCTCAAAGTTGGACCCCTCACTATCCAAACTCCAGAATTTATAGGGCTGTTTAGTTCTCCTGAATCCATAACCCAGCCTGGGCTCTGCACACTCTGTGCTCTACATGGTTTGTCTCACAACTGTGTCATTCCCAGCATTTTGGGTTTAGTCATTCCAAGGCAGACAAGGAGCAGGGCCTGTTCCATCATTTTTCCCCCATTTTTCCATCTCCAGACCGGATCCACAGACTATTTTTCCTGAATTATCATTAAACCCAAGGAGCCTTTTGTAGTGTTTTCCTGAGAACAGTCAATTTTGTGTCTCTCTCTGTCTCCTTTTCATATGAAAGGGTTGGGGTTGTGTGAAATCCCGAGGGAATTTCTCTAAAGCAGGATATAAATGAATTCTACCTTCAGAAATTTAATGAAAGGAAACCTACTTAATTCCAAAGTTTCTTCCTCAGAAATTATTTAAAGGATTTGGGGGAGAAAAAAAAAAGATATTCCTATAAAGACTCTTACATCTTCCCATAAGATATATCCTATAAGACATTCCTATTATCCCTATAAGATATTCCTTGCTCTTCAATATCACTATTTTTAGGTGCATTTCCGAGCCAAATTTTGAGATTATGTATTAAATATCGTAGATTTGATAGGTCTGAGCAGAAAACCTTGTGCCAACTCTGCCAAGGTTTTGCACAGAGCAAGAAGTTTGTTTTCCATGGGCCCTGTTTCTCTTCCAGCTGCTCCTTCTGAAACACTTAATTCCTGTCCTGACAAAGGGAACCTGGCCACAGGTGCCCCTTCAATAAAAGGCACCAGAGGAAAACCAGTATCATGTTTATATTAGGTGTTATAATGTAT